TATGGGCTAATATATATATATATATATATGTATCTATGTACATATGTATCTATACATGTACACATCGATTTGCACTTATACGTGTATTGACATGTATATTTGTGTGTGCGTGTTTGTATATATTCGTATGTCGAAAAAGTACATACTTATAATTGTATATATGTATGTATCTATGTATGTACGTATGTATACATCTATATATATATATATATATGAGTATACATACATACATACATACATACATACATACATACATACATACATACATACATATAATAAGGGCTGAATCCGCGATGCTAGCGGCGAAGACCACCGCTACGGACATCAAGCCCTAAACCTGGTCTTCATCTTGAAAGATCCTCAGACCCTCCAACCGTATCAGAGTTTCGGCGGTCACACTCGGACTTTGCAGGGGTGGCATGACTGGCTGTGAAACGAACGAGGTTACAAGCGGCAGCATTTAATCCGGCTTGCATCTTCAGCTATCAATGCAAAATTAAGCTCCCGGTCTGCAAGATACGTTTTTGTCATGGCACCCACCTCTATCCAGGAATCATTATATACATCAGCACAGTTCGCAGTTGACGAGACTAAAAGAGAAGGTGACAGTAGGGATTCGGGTACTGGATGCATGAAAATTGACGAAAGGGCACGCACAAACACCGAGACGAACCAAGCGTAGCAGTGGAATCAACACCAGCCTCAACCCCAAATCTTTGAAGTTCAGCAGCCGTCCGGGAAGTTTCAGAAAACAAAGGACCCTCATTGACGTAGACCTTGCAGGGTCGTAGTCTTGCTACGAAGCGGAACTTTCGGAACCCTCGACCCTCCATCTCTTTTGGACAGATCGATGCCTCGGTGCCCTCGTCCCTGCACGCCTCCGCCTTAAGCCCAGAAAGGGTTCAGGGTTCTCGGTCTTAGGTCCTGGGGTCTCTGGGTTTTTTATCTGAAAAGGCTTGTGTTTCTGTGCTTCTTTGCCATAAGTTTTCTTCAAAGCCCAAAGCCTCGCCATCGCGAAAGTTAGCCCTGCAATCCTAGATGCAACAACGCAAGTTGCTTCAACCCCGTTAACACCATCAAGCGAAACCTTCTTAGTTGCTCCCAGCCACGAGCAGTTCGCAAAGCCCAATCGCCGCGTGAACACGCAACTGACATGTCCTCGGTAGATGCGATTTGCTGGCGGCATTCAAGGCGAAGGTCATCCTTTTGCTGGTTCTCAAAGTCTTAGAACTCTGATCCTATAGGGTTCGGGGATGATTCGACTAGAGGTCTCGATGCAGTTTTCAGGCTGAAGCTTCGGAGGGCCAACACCGCACGAAATCCATAAGGGAATTCGGGGTTTAAGGTTTGTTAGTTGCAGGAACTGGGGGCCCATGGAAGTCTTCTCGTCTCTCTTGCTTTGTGGGAAGCCTTCACGATTCTGGTTGGTGCGCCGGGCACAGGCATCAGCTTGCGGAATTTGCACGACAACGGGCGGACCACCCACAGGACACCATTTTCTCAAAAGACTGCGTAAACAATTGGGCAGAGGCCGAATTCCCCCTAAACTCTCTGAGGCCGAAACCACCCCATACAACTCAGAAGCACGATTCCTATTCCTCCGAGCTGCAAGGTGTCCTTCTGACACATACTGGCTTTGCCCAGGCTCTGCATCACCTAAGTCTTCTTTGCAGGGCACGGCTCCCCCAGGAGAGTGCAGGGTCGAGGCTCTTGTTGGGGGATTCTTGTAGCCCAAAGCTGCGGGCGGAGTCGTCTTTGGGCTTCTGATTTTCTTGTGAGATTTTAGAAACGTCCTAGTCCTAACATTGGTGCCAACAGCTAGGGTTGTGCTACAATAACGACCGCATGAACAGACTGACATCACATTTTTTGCTACACCATGCAGCACACTGAGTCCAGTATTCGATGTCGTCGTCGTAGTAGTAGGAGGAGAAGAAGTGCAGGAAAAGCTGCAGCGCGTGTTGATGCCGCAAGAGGGATGGAATTCAAAGCTCGGACGTGTCACAACGATGTTTAGTGCAAACCCGAATCGAACCAGCCCAGCCATTGTGCGGGCGTCGTTTCACAGCCCAGCTGCATCGTGGCCCAACTCTGCACAGCAGATCGTGAAGTCATGTTCGCCGGCCAGCTCTCCCAGCAGGGCATCGAAACGCCTCGGTTGGTTTCCAGTTTAGGCCGCTGCCAGTGCCTGGATGAATCGGATCTATGCTGGTCGTACTCGCAGCTGCACAGCATTCTACAGGTCCATACACAAAGGCGACGTTACCTCTCATACTCGGGGAATGCGTTGATCACTATCGCACGGGCTTGAACTAGCTGCCAAAGTAACCATGAGGAAGCCATGGACGTGGAATATTAATGGCAGCTTGCAACAAAACATCTTTCGCTTGTGGCGACAGCAGTTTACCAGCTTGCTTTCGCAGGAACACGGACTATGGATGAGTGTATCCCGCAGCCTGGCTCACCTTCCAAAATCACCGCGGTAACAGAAGTGACCGACTCCAGTCGCAATGACTGGTGCTTGCTGAGGCAGCTGTCGTCCCTCCAAACCAGACCAAACCAGAGTGCGACAATGTGGAAGCTGCAGCAAACAGGTCGAACTTCTTCGCATTGGTTGCACGTTTAGGAGTATCGTCTCAGGATTGTTGACTGCAGATCTTGAGGCTGCAAAGCAGAAGTCGAGTCAGGTCTAGGTTTCGGATTGAACTGGTTCTGCAAGTTATGCTCCCTATGCTTCCTTCTATACTGTGTCCGCACAGCAAAACCTTATCGGGCCCGGAACCATGGAGGCGTCGTCTTCGGCCGAGGCTCTCGTTGAGGGACTCGGAATGCTCTTCGAACGTCTCTCGCACCTGCCTGTTCCACCTGGAGGCATCGAGATATTTTGCCAGGAATGCGACTGCAGTCTGGATGTAATGCTGTTTCCACTGCTACTGCTGCTCTTGCTGCCATGCTCTATAGTACTCGCACTAGTACTCCTGCCACTCCTACAGCTGCTACAATTACTACTACTGCTGCTGCCGGTGCCATTACCTGGTTGTAGTTCCGGGGTCCTGAAAAAGCATTTATGAAAAAGTGCCTCCATAAGAACCATAAGGGAAATTTCAACTCTTCCCAAAGTGCCACCCAGATCACTACTGCTACTGCTACTGCTAC